AAGGGACAGTCCTGCTCTGCAGCAAAGGGGAACTTAAACACAAAATTTACAAATTTTATAAAAAACATTAAAAAATTTACCTTCAACACAAGTGAGGTACTGGGCTGTCATCGTTTATGCTAAATTTGAAATGAAAGCCAGATGAGAGGGATGAATGAAGAAACAGCAAATATACAAGACATTAAACCCAAAAGAGACCTCCCAGCTTGAGGCACTAGTTCCGAAAGGTTGCAAAGGCAGAGGCTGTATTAAAAACTGAATTCAGGAGTACTGACAACTGCCTGGGGGCGAGGGGTTTTCTAACTCAACCTCCTGCACATCACAATGATACGTGCTCCCAGATACTACTCTGTGTGCTCACACTGACCCAGAGTCACTCACCTCCCTGCTTTGTAGCCCAGGGCGAAGGGGAGCACAGGCTCCAGCCCTCTCCTCCGCAGCCAGCCTCCAGCCGGAGCCAGCACACGCAACGGTCCCGTTTGCAGAAACCAGACTCGCGAAAGGAGCAGCCCAGAGCAATTATTTGCTTACAGACAAAGCCACGTTGCTCTTCTTTCTGTGCGACGGCCCGGCTCAGGCGCACGGCACCGGCAGGCCACGTGCCGCGTGTCACAGCAGGGCGTCACGGCCGGGTCTTTGGAGTAATCTGCAACCGAGACGTTGTCTGTCATGATGTCCTCCAGAGCTCGGGCGTAAGCCCTGCTGATCGCGGGTAGCACTGCCTGATACTCTCCAGATGCCACGTCCAAAGGCTCCTGCTCCTGGATATCACGATCCAGATTGAAGACGAGGGGTGGCTGGTGATGGTCCGCTCGGTGCTCCCATCGCAAGCCACTGCCCCTCCTGTGGAGGAAGCAAGAGAAAAACATGGGAGTCCCAGGCTGCCCAGGGATCCTGTCTGGATTCCTCACCCTTCTGTGATGGCTCAGTCCCAACAGGTCCCAGCTCTGGGAGCCCGGATCCTGCTCCTGCTCTGAGAGTGCTTCTGAAACCAACAACCCGGGGCTGCAAAGTGCATCTCACAGACACAGTGGGGCACACACTTATTTCTCCCTGGGTTTGCTCTTGCTTGAATTAACCTGAGTTGTTTTTCACCTGTATCTGCAGGGAGCCAAGAATTCCACAAGTTCTCCCCCAGACATTATGATCTCTAAAAGGGACACGGTACCCGTGGTGTAAAACGCCTTGTACTGAGCCAGCCGTAGCGCCTCTATCCTGCCATCCTTCCCAGCTGCCCCGCTGTTGGGGTGGAGCAGAACCTGAAGGAAGAACAGAAAAAACACCCCTCAGCCCCTTGCAGAGAAAACCTGCTCTGTGAGACTCGCTCTCTCCCGTTCAGCCTCTGGACTCCGAGCAACCAACCCGGTTTTCCTTGCCGAAGGGTGGGCTGACAGCGAAAGGGCACCGGGAAACACCAGCATCTCTCTTGTGCCTTCCTGGCCCTGCACGCAGGACCCCCCAATTTACCAATTCTACTTCAAGAAAGGGACCCTGATGGTGCAGGGGCTTTCAGCAGAGCGGGGCACAATATTCTGGAGCTGGGATGGTCTCGTGTCACCCACCCCGTGTCGACGAGACACCCATCTTGCCCGTGCTTGCAGCTCCGCGAGTGGCAGGGACCCCTCAGGGAGCCGAATCGTTGCCTGGGCTGGCAGCGAGCCCCAAGGCGAGGGTGAGCTCATGCGGAGCAGAGGCTGTGTGAGGAGGTGAGGTGCTGGAACATCACCCCCGGCCGGTCCCCGCCGCTGACTCACCCGCGGTGCGAGCGCTCCCTTCCCTAACAACAGCCGTCCCGGCACGGGGAACGGGGGTGAGAAGGAAGAGAAGAAGGGAAGGGTGGATCAAATCTCTCCCTGTCGGTATTTAGGACACTTGATCCGCACAGGACGACTGGTTTGGCACACGGGAGCGGCTTCGGCGGGCTCCTCCGTCAGATAATATCTGCTGCGGAGCCAATGGCTTCATCGAGGGATGAGTCACTCGAGGTTTCCTCCCTGGGAACCGAGTTTAAAAGTGATTCAAGAAATTTCCACTGTGCTAAAAATTAGAAACATCTGCTGAAGTTGTAGGCAGCTGCGGTGCCAAGTTTAGTAACAGCGTTCACAGCTGATTGGCGCGGTGATGCCTCAGCAGGTGCCCGGTGCGGAGCCCTGCCCCGGCACCACCGGGCACCCAGACACGCTCGGGCTTTTTCCGCTGGCTCGGGGCCAGTTGGTAACTCATCCAAGAAATGCCAGGATTCGGGGTCAGGGGATGTTTTCCAGACACTTTCATTTTCCTTTATGGGCCTCCATTGCAAGGTAAATGAAAAAAAAAAAAAAAAATCACCTTCTGGAATTTGGCTTAAAAATCATATTTTAGGGAAAAAAATTAAGGTGTAAATTGGAAGAGAAAATCCTTCCTAGAGAGTCCTTTTATGCTGACACTCCTTGGTGCAAAGCAGAAATCAGCTCACAAAGGCTCACAAGGCTCACAAAGCCAAGGTACTGGGGTCTGGATGGATTTGCCTGATTCCAGAGCTGCGGCTTTGCCTACGCCCCGTCGCCAGCCAGCGCTGGTTACCTTCAGCGGCACAGCTGGGACGCTGCTGTCCCCATGTAAGGACACTCAAACCCCCAAACCTCCCTTGCTACCGGCGAGCGCCTTCCTAAACCTGCCTCATAAAAACCCACGTTACAAAAAATCTATTATAATTTACTGCATAATTAAGGAGTTTATTTCAAGAAACATTCCCAAGTCTGCAAGCCGTCTATTGATCTTGCTATTTTATTTTTTTATTACTTTTTTTTTTAAAAAAAAGGAACAAAAGCCTTTTCCACAAGGTCTCTGTCTCTCTGTTTCCCCCCAGAAACCCTGTTGCCTGAACTCGGTGCTCTGGGCTGCTTGCACAAGCGAGCTGGCACCCCTCCGCCATTCAGCTCATGGAAAGGCTTTATTTGCCAGACACTTGTACCCATGATACATCTTGTAGGATGTGTTTATTTTTAGTGCAAATAGCCTTCGCTCAAAACAGGACCTTGGTGTCGCACCAGCCCCGTCACGGGTTGTGCCGGTGCCCGAGGACGCCGAGCAAGGTTACCTGGGGCCACGTGCGCTGGGAGCCCCAACTGCCTGAGGGACCCCGGTCAGGAAAGGTGGGGACCAAGAACGGGGGGCAGAGGGGACGGGTCCTTGCTCCCCATCACCCCACAGGGCCAGAGCGGGGCGGGTGCTGTGTGCGTCCCTCAAAGTCACTCCATCCCGGGGCAGCGTGGGCACCTGCCGCGGGAACGCCCGCCCCACTCGTGCTGCCAGGCAAGAGCGACCCACTGGTTTCCCCCAGCTCCCGGCCTCACAGGGATTTATTCACCCCTCACTGCAGCACAACCCCCCCAAAAAAGCACTGGGTGTGGGTGATGCTGGGGAAACCCAGGGAGGTGCTGGTGCATCGTAGCTCAGGATTTTGTTCCTGGATCTGAAACAGGTAGGAATGGCTGGCACGGGTACCTCCACTGCACCTCGACACCCAGAAAACCAACATTCCCAGCAAACCATCGCTCCTAGCAAACATCATTCCCAGCAAACCATCATTCCCAGCA